CTGCTTTGCAGTAGGATATATTATGAAAAGAAATCAACCATTTATCCCTATAAGCATAAATAAAAATAAAATTCTAAATGATTTCACCCCAGTAGTAATTAGTTTTCACATGTGTTAACACTTAAACACACTAAAAACATAGCTCCTGAAATTGCTTGGATAGATGCCTATTACTATTCATTTTCAAAGTTGACACCACTTAAAACTAAACCTCAGATCTCAAAACACCATTTAAAGCCAAGCGAATCAGCCCAAACTCCACATATGCAAGGCATGAAAACTTCAAAATTATATTTCAATTACTCATTAATTTGTGCATCAACCCAATCAAAACGACATATGTAAAATTCTAAAATCATGCTTTCTGACAAGTATTTTTAAAGCCAAATAAGACTTCAATTGTCAAATAATAAATATCTCCCAAAACATAAAGAACTTTCATTAACTAAGTAAGTGCATATTAGACATGAAATGAAAAACACCCTTTAGACAATAGCCGATATCATCATGTGTAAACTAAGGAACCAATATTTGGATAAATACAAATATGAATTTGTATTGGCTATGAAAGATGTCCATGAATCTACCCTGTTATAGATACTGAAGAAAGAAATCTAAGATTTAAATCCTATAAGCGATGTTCTTTTTTTATGACTAAGAATCAGTAAACAAAAGTCCTCATGATTTAGTACATTTTTTTTCTTATCTTGCAATCATCATTGGTAGCATCTCTCGAAAACTATTGAATAATAACATTTAAATGCATTCTTGAGTATTTCCCTTCACAGACTAGCAGGAACTCAGAGACATTTTTAAAAGTATAATATAAGATATATGCGGAATTCTCATCTTACTGACAACCATCAGTAAACTTTAATAAACATTTTGAAAAGAAAGAATGTTCTATGATTTGATAGTCCATAAAAGGAAAGAGCTTTCCCATCTAAGACTTAATTGGTAGAAGGAGACCATAACCCATGCATAGATCTCTATTAATCAGTTTGTAGTTCTTATTATATTTGCTTGACTAAATTGTCAAGTTTGAGATATTATAATGGTCTTCCTAATGACTATATAATGTTGTACCTTTCACCATATGCTTTCATTTAGGAGAGCATATGGAGTTGGATATATCAGGGTATTTTATACAAAGAAATGTTTTACTAACTTAATTACCCCTTTCTGAGTACAGACTCATAAATATACTTTCTGAATATGGATTTCCATCTAGGTGCCCTTATTGCATTGATTCAAAAAGTCAAAGGGTAAGGGCTGCTTATGCACAGGAGGTAGCTCAGGGTGCAGAAGAGTATGAAGGGATGGACACTGGGAGGAGGTAACTGTGGGGGGGAAGTGGGAGGGGAGCTGCTGCATTGTAAATTTTGGTCAATGACATGAGACAAAGTATATGTGAACTGCTGTATGAAAAGTGAATTTACTCTGTAAATCTTCACCCAAATCCTAAAAAAAAAAAAAAAAGTCAAAGGGTAAAATCCATTGTACAACTTAACTAGCAAAAAAAAAAAAATGTATTATAAACCTACTCTTACTGTTTCATAAAAAGTTAGGGCATACACAAGAATAACTACAATATATATCCCAAGTAAAAGGAACTGAACACCATATGTAAGTAAACACACATGTGTACACACACATTAATAGGTTATCCTTCAAACCCATGCACTGTAGCTCTTATCCTCGGGGGTTGGACTCCAGATTTTCATGACATCTGCCCTATATTCCTCACAGGTATATGAGAACATATGTGACTCAGTACTTGCAGTCAATAGTGGCATGACCCTTTCCTATCCTACAAAATGAAGAAACAAGACCTATACCATCCCAGGAGGGATGAGGATCTATTACAGAAGCACCAGAAAAGGGGTTACTAAAGGAAGTTCTCAGCCACGCATTGTCAAAAGGAGAGGAAGAATTTGAATGAACTTAATCTTATTCCAGCCTCACAAAGTCACAATTGTGTTTTAATTTGCAATCTGTAGTAGTTAAGTTTGTGTGTCAACTTGGCTGGGCCTGGTTAAATGGCTGGGCAGCTGGATGTAGTATTCCCCATGATGAGACTGGTAATCAACTCCATATGGAATCTACTGTGAGCAGCTGAGTAGCTGCCTGTGGGAAGTGGTCTGCTTCTTGTA